ACTCACGCATACATACACAAATATATACAGAAACACATAAATACATTTCATACACAAACTTTTACACACACACTATACACATACACACACACACACACACACACACACACACACACACATATATATATATATATATATATATATTCATTAAATTTATTCGTTAACATTCACAAAAACACACATTTACAATCACAGGCACAGACACACACACACATATGTGTGTGTGTTTGTGTGTGTGTCTGTGTTGAGTGTATTTGTCCATCAAAATTTGTTAGGATATTTTTTTGAATTATTTTTTGACATTTCGGATAATTTTCTTGTCTTCTAGCGAACGCATAACAATAAATTCTCCCATATCTGACGACATCGGTTTTGATAAGCCATTATCAAAATTTATTTTGTATTGTTGGTTTCATCGATTTCTAAATAGCTTGATTGGTGCGCGATGTCTTCTTTTAAATTATCTTAGCTTATCTTATATATATATATATATATATATATATATATATATATATATATATATATATATATATTATGATCCACTTTTAAAAAGAACTGTTTTTGCAGCTCATCAGTGTGGCTAGACATCCGATTGCCTCAAACTTGGATCGATATCCGACTAAGCCATTAGTGCACGGCAGATATGAAGGTGAATTCAAACGTATTTATTTTTAGATACACACGCCAGTGACTATACGTCAGATAGACAAAAATATATACTGTTTAATAAATAAACTGAGCGTATACTCAACTATGAGTATATACTAAAATAACTTTTAAACTGAAAACAAAATATGTATGTGTGTGATGGTCTCCCTGCACCAGAGATATTTTTATAAAGCTGAAAACTAAACAGATAAGTTGCTACATTTTTTCTGCGTCTCCATTCGCGTATCATTTTGCATCATGTTCAAATACTAAACAGATTAAAATGTCTGTTAATATTTTTTACCTTGGATATCCTTTCTTGCCTGTCAAATATAATCGCTTGTGCTGTCTAATGGACAAACGAACGCAGTGATATATCTTTAAATTTTCAGACGCCATTATTTCCGGAATCGGTTAGTTTTCTGCAGTATATCACCTAATAATCAGGTAAAGGCATTAATTTACAGACTGACATTCAAGCACAGCACTGAAGTTGGCTAGACTAATTGCCTCAAATAACCTAAAAAGCACTCCAATTTCAAAGTCGCCAAAGTTTTCTTTTAAGTCGGCTAGCATTTCCATTATATTTCAAAGCAGTGGTTCTTTTATTATAAATCCAAGATTGCTTTCGAAATATGGTGGAAAGAAGTCTGATCAATAGAAAATTCAAATCTTAAACATAGATATACGTCTACGTTTTGAAACCTAGCAGTTATGCCAAAATTTATTATTCCTAGGCATAATGATAAGAGGATATACATTGTTGATGACAGATGCAGAAAGAATGCTTGCAGGGCGTTCTTGAAACGGCAGTAAAGGAAAACGAAAAGAAAGGACGTGGCCTCAACTGTGATTAACTAACTAAGATGAGAGCTATGAGTTGGAGATGTTGAAATCAATGAATATCTGTGAGTTTTTTTTTTAAACCGATAACAGAATATTTGGCACCGAAATCTAATTGCGTCACGTAATAGTGATAGATGGCGGCCAGAAATTTAAACAAATTATTAAGGAGCAGGAAACTCTCTTTAGGAAGAAAAAAGTGTGTTCTGAATTATGTAATATGGCAGTGAATGCGGTACACCTTTATCCCAGAGGAAGACTGGACATGAGTGTTTCTATCGGAGAATGCCGAGAATACCATACACGGAACATTAGGGCAGGTCAGTTTTGGAACCGTGGTATTGCACTAAATTTGAAAGTTAAAGTTTGACATTATAAATAACAACGCATAATATATTTACAATTCGTTTCCTTTTATTGACGAAGCGAGATTAAAGATTGAGTTTAGGATCAAAATAGGAACGTTGGAATTTCATTTTGGTGATCAGTGAAAGCCTTATAGCAAAGCGTTATAAAATTTATAATTGAAATATAAGCAGTTATTTGGTTTCAATTTAAAAAGGATAATGAATTCCATAACCAAAAACTTTATAATTTCAACGTTATCCAGAGAGTAAAGACAAATTCGACTGAAATACAGAAGGTTGCATTAAAAAGAATTAGAGTACAATGCTTTCGCCTTGAGTCCGGATAATATTCTTTTCTCAATGTTTAAGTCTTGGAATTGGAAGAGGCTATAAATCTTCCATAAGATAAATAAACATTTATTCATACTTAATTAGTTATGTCAATTTACAAGACTAATTTTAAGATTTAATTCAAATGGCATAAAAATTATAACCAAGTATAAATTCTCCAATAATTGTTTTTTGAAAAGTAACTAACCATGGAAGAAGATATTTAAAAAGATTACATTAATCAAAATTGCAGCGACACACTGGCCAAATTTGATTAGATTTTCACATAATTTATCGAATACAGTCAAAAAAAAATGGAATATTGTGGTTATTCATATTTAGAAATTTGTTTTGAATATATTTTCCATTGAGCAAATCTAACTGTGCGATCAAAAGATTCAGATCGATGTGATATAACTATTTCATTTGGATTTATTCTTGAATTAGTAAATTTTTAAATCGGTTTTAAACAATGCAAAAACCATTTTGTCAAATTAGGTATAAACTAAATGCACTTTTATTTAAATATTGATAAAAGCATTTTATTTAAAGCCTTTTTAATAACTTGGTGCTTGTCCATTTATCGAATGTAAAAAATAAAGCTTGTGGTTTTCATATGAAGTTCAACATTTGATTTTCAAAAAATAGGAAAAATCAACCTCATTTTGTAAGCAGAAACGATGGAAGTATTTGTTTTATAATTAATAAAGGCAAATAAAAGGATTACTCAAAAAGAAACGAATACATTGAATCTAAAAATTGAAAGTGGAAATTTCTAGAATAACAAAGGTTATTCTGAAAAAAAATGAGACATGATGGGGAAAAAAATTTTTAATGGGGGAAAATGAGTTTACAGGACATTAATACAAGAGAAACAGATGAAACCTGCGACTACTCATCTAACAAACTGAATGAGAGGGAGAGTAAAAACAAATATTGTTAAGAGATACTAAGTATAGGAAGTTGTGGAGCCATAATCGCTCATCTAATAAAAGCGGAATTGGTTAAGTCTCTTACTTCGTATTATCTACTTTCAGATATGCAATATGGCTTCCATTTGTTCAGGTTTATCACCGATGTGTTAACAGCTATCACTGAATTTGTCTATCAAGGTTTAGATGAGAACGGCGAAGCTCGATTCGTGGCTTTAGATATTTTGAAGGTGTTCGACAGTTTGACATACTGGCCGCCATAACAAGATCTCTGGATAAATATTTGGTCTAATCCAATCGTTCCTAACAAATTGTGTAATGAAGGTCGTGTCAAAAGGACAAAGCTTCTGCTTAGTGTCATATTAATTCAGGGGGACCAAAAGGCTTTATCCACGGATTTACGCTGTTTCTAATCTTCATCAATGACGTTCCGTTGTCATCAGTTCCCAACTAGGGATCTATATAGTTGACAAACTGTTTAAACCTGGTAACTGCTTTCAAAACGGACCACCAATTTGTGGTCAACTATGTATCCGGATATGGAGAATATTGGACATAAGATTATTAATTCCCTTCTATGAAAATACGCTCTAATTATAAAAATGGTTTGAGAAATTTTTCACACAGATTATAAAAGATTGTTAGAGACATGGTCAGAACATTTTTTCCGTCTGTGCTTATATGTCTGTGTGTATGTATGTGTATATAATTGCCAGACCATGTGTCGAACCTAGGATGGCTAATTAAAGCTGACAGAAGTAAAGTGAAAACTATACAGGGTGCGATGGATAAATTGTCGTCTAAATTAAGCAAAAATGACAATGGCACTGGCATCTCATTTTAACAGATACATTTATCAAAGTTACAGAAAAATATCTTGAAATACTACAGAGTAAATTTATTTCAATAAAATTGCCATTTCCTTCAAACACGGCCCCCAGAAAACTTCGGAATGTCCTGCATCTCTTCTGGACAGTCTCCTTGTTTAAATCGGTGAATGCTGCCATAATCCTTGCCTTCAGTTCATGTTTAATGTTACAAAGTGATTTGTTGGTCTCTCGTTCAACCGCGTCCCGCACATAATAACCAAAAGGGGTTTCAGTCTTGGGAGTTAGTTGGCCAGATGTAAGTGGTGATGTCGTCGGAGAATTTGTCTAGCAGCCATGACTGGGTTCTTCTGCTTGTGTGTCATGCTGCAAAATCCTGTTGCCAGACATAAGGGCTTCCAGTAACCATAATTTTGACCTAGCACTATCTACTCAAGACACTTGATGGAGACATCCGTGTTGAGTCTGAGGCCCTATGAGATGAATATAGTTATGACGTAGCTACCACTAGTGATCACTCCAAACACCTTGGTAATCACTATTAGACTCATTCAACCCATTCCAAAAACTCTACACACTTCTCATATTGACACCAAATCATTCTGAAATATACGTATTGGAGCTTCCGGAGCGAATGCCAAGTTGTAATGCCGTTATCAAATTTATGTCGAAGTGAATTGTGTCATGGTACTCGTTTACTTACAGACGGTGCCCAATGTGACCCTACTATACTGTGCAGTCGTCCAAAAAAAAAAATGAACAACGCGCATACGCAAAACTAAAAAAAAAATAAAATGGCGACAATTTACAATCGCACCCTGTTTATTTGTATATCAGAGTGAACAAACCAGAAACCCCGATAAGCCGTTGAGTCCATGCACTAAAAAGACTTATTTCGAACACACATATTCTCACAAAAAAGAGGTTGACTAAATATGTCGATGAGAATTTCCCACCACATCTACTATTCTATTTTTCTATTAAAGAAAGGGCGTAAACAAAGAACCGGACAGACTTCAACGCTGTGTTTTATATATCTTCAGTATTTTTCTATTTTGAAATTCTATTATCAGCTAATAAAGATGCAGAAAAAAAGACATCAACCTATACAAAGAAAGCACTTCATTTATAGGCATTGAAATATCGTCCATAGATTTTAGATAGATATAAAAATAATAGATATCAGCTAATAAGGAAACAGAATAAATAACAGAAAGATAATAAAGAAACTGAATATTTATACTGATTAGAAATAGACTTGGTTAAGATGGATACGATAGATAAAGAATATGAGAAGTCAAAGACACATGAGAATGAAGTTTTTTGAAGATTGATATATAAATAGAAATAATCAAAGTAAGATAGATAGCATATGGCAAAGCTAAGAGAAATCGGTATGTATGATGAGATAGATAGATAGATAGATAGATAGATAGATAGATAGACTGACTGACTTTACTGATCGCCTGAAATTTCTGAAGTTTTTTTTGTTTTAAAATCCATATTGATAGTCTTCCGCTATATATTCTGTAGACAGTTTCCTGTACTGGACGAAGCTGATATTTTTTCATTCAATTTTGAATGAGCTAAGTGACAAAAATAGAAATTAAACAGTCCAGATCCGTTTTAGTTAAAACGAAGGGTTGTCAGGGCAGAACGATGCCATCTTTGATATTCTATTTTTCCTTTGGCTGATGTATTTGTTTTTTCGTGCCTTTTGGCGCTAAGGTTTAACTGGTTCCCTTTTTTTTTGTTGGCGAGTCTCTTGCGTGTTGTATTTTGTTAGGGAATTAATCGTTTTCTTTTTTTGCATTTTTTTTATGATTTTGTACACATTTATCACTTCAAATGTTTTTTTCTTTTCTTTTCCTGAAAGCAGCCTCTAACCAAGAAATGAATAAAATTATCAAAATTTTGGAAAAAGTAATAGGAAAAAAGTAACTGAAACCTTCAATTATGACGGCATCCGCACATCACTTTTTCCGACTGTTTTTCTTCAATATATTTCTCACCATTTCATCTACGTTTTTAATAAAATAAATATCGCATATTTCTTCAACGTAACAGGTAGATTATCATCATCACTCTTCGTATGGCGCTAGAAATAATTCAATCATAAACTGATAATTATATCTACGTATTTCTTGAATTATCTGACCACACAGATAATTAGTTCCATAGTATTCGTCCAACTACCAATGCGTGTAGCAAAAATAAAACCGAAGATTTCATGTGAAGAAACTATAATCCATGCCATCTTTAATGGATAAAAGTATTGGTTGAATTATTGACGCCTAGAGAATATTAAATCACTTTAATAAATTTATTTTAAATAAACGTTTCGGTATTAAAATCTTGAAAATCATTGATATTGAGTTCAATTATTCTTGGTAATCGCATCCATTTCTCAAATACGGTTTCTGTATTCTACGACGACTTGACAAATCAAGATACCGCTGGTTCAATTCACCGTCCTTACTTTCTGAAACGTCACAACGTATATCTGTCTGTTGTTCTACCGTTTTCACTGCTTCAGCCCTGTTTTATCAGGCAAACACTGCGGTCGACCAGCCAATCAGCGTTCTTCGCTTTTATTCTCAGTTATATAAATAGCCTCCTCCAGTTCAACCAATCAGCACACAACTTGCTATTGGCGGAAGCATGCTAAACTGTACAAAAACCTTCGTGACCGCACATACTGCTAGAAGGGAGAGTAATGCCATTTTCACGGGGCAAACTTACCGATGTCACATGCCGCCCGTTAAAGTAAGACCCTTATTTTCCTATGCACCAGATGGAAGCCACTCTAGCTCGCTCGCTTATACGGATCTGTTCACCACATCCCCCTGATCTATGATCACAGAACATAGTCTCGAGCAGGTCGCTTTTGCCGGGTACTTCACCGAGGAGATGGAGCAACATCTTCAGATGAACTGTCATCAGGGGAGATAGCATGTACCACATTAGTAGTTTGGCCGCTAACAGTTGGGGAGTCGTCCTCTACGTTTATGTCGTCTTCAATAGACTCAGTATAAAGATATATAGTTTCTTCTAATGGGGTTGATCTCAAATTTACTAACCGCTCACTCTCTTCAGAATCGCCTGTGACATAAATCGTCAAATTCGTCTGTTGAGCTGCTGCGGCAATCTGACCCCTCCGGCTCTTTGCTATCGGTCATGAGGCCCGAGCGCGAGTCAGGATCTGGTCCAACGACATAGTGTCCAATATGGATGATGCGCGGAGATTGACTTGTTGCGGCAGTCCAGAAACGAAGGCGCACGTCATCCATCGTTCAGGCAGTTGGCCGCCAAACAACAAATCTAGCCGTTTCAACTATATTAAAAATTCGTCTACGGTTTCTCCTGGCCGAAATCGTCGCAGTGAATCAGTGATCATACACGAACATCAACCTCGCAAACAAAGTTTGTTTCCTGGATCGCAGCTACATCTATCCAAAGGACCTGAGATCAGAAAGCAGGCGGCCAGCCTTACCCTGATCTTTCAGGTCCCTCACATTCAGACTGGCTAGTTTGATTGACATAATTTAAGCCAGAGTCCCTTAAGGGCAGACTGGTAGGAAATCTGCGGGTGCCAGGATCCCCGACGGATTGTTCCAGGCTACCAGTGCCTACATCGGACGTAATTAGTCTTTCTGTGACAATAATGTCTGTGGGAAAAGTTAATTTTATTACCCTATATAGATAGGGTTGGAAAAAAAAACTGGGGCCATCCCTACACAATACTGAGACAGATCTTTCAGCTCGGTGATTCTATCTGTACCATCCGGAGTTTAGAATGCTCTTTTTGGCTTCTGCCAAATACTCCCCCTTTTGAGGTTTTCCCCGGTGTTATTACACTGATCAGGAGCACCAGGATAATTCCTTGTTTACTTCCCATCAACAGAAATTGCCTTAACAAAAGCCTCAAGAGGGTTTTATGCAGATCTTGTCACCTTTGGGAGGTTGCCCTTTTTTTTTCCTTGGGGTTGGTTGTGGGAGGGAGACAGGGAAGACGGAGCCCCTAATAGGGAACAGTGGTGGCTCCTTGTCTTACCTTACTGGAGATCCTTTTCTGCTCTAGCTGGTGAAGCAGGCGCGGATTGTGCTTTCTCCGCCCTACTCCGGTCCGCTCTCCTTTCTTTCTTAGTGTTGGTAATAAAGTCCTCTTCCTCCTTTTAGCCCTTGCCCTCTCCTCTCTTTAATGATGAAGATCGAGGCGGAGGCATTTCCTCCACCTCCATATAGAGATCCAGCTGAGGCAACTCCTCCATCACTTGTTCAGGTTGGACTTCTTCCCCGCCTGCTTTTGTTGCTGAACTGTCTGCTACCGTTGCTGCTGCGGCTTGCTTGCGTTGCTGCATTTGCAGTTTCTGTTGCTTTTCCCGATGTAGTTGCGTCTGCTGCTGCTTCAGTTGCTTCTGATTTTGCTTAGCAGATCCTTTGCTGGAGACATCCGGCTTCTGCTGCTGTTTTGAGCATCCTTATCTTATTGACGTCCTGCTTCTGTTGCTGTTTGGCAGCACCTAATCTTGACGTCCTGCTGGGGAGGACACCTTCACTTCCTCTTCACCACTTCAGTCTATTCGCTACCGCGGGCCTTATTTTGTTACTTCCTCCATGGGCTACTCTGGTGTTGGTAGAGGTGCTTGCTTCGTCTGTGGTACTGGCTTCTTGGTTGGACACAACTTTCCCAGGTGTCCGGCCGCACCCCAAGCCCAACAGGAGGGGACGACGACCCTCGACAACAACAAAAATTCTTCGGTCGCCAGGGGAAGTGATATTAGGTATATTGAACAATGGCCGGGTCAATGTCACCATGACCTCAACATCACTATACCTGAATTACTTTTGATGAAAGATACCCCATCCACAGGCCCGTAATTAAAAAAAGAATGCCTCAAATGATCTTCCATGATGTACATGGGCACACCATAAAGGTAATGGGGTTTTGGGGGTGCCCATGTACTCTGTTTGCAGCCACATTGTTTTTGCTGGTGAGTGTGCATCCAGCCAGTGCTTTGGCAGCCTCTTCAGTTACCAGCAGGATGTTCCAGATGGCGTTAGAAATGAGAGCCATGAATTTCCTTGATATCGACCGTCAACAAGGAGATTGTCATAATTGCCACTGTCTCCATGACAGAAGGCATTAGAAACAGTTCATTTTTTGAGATGAACTCCTTGTATTCATCTCGGAGTCTCTTGTAATATTCTGGTCCTTTTTTGGACCTTTCCTGCACCCAAGCTGGCCAATGGCTCTTTTTTCTGGGTCACCTCAGCCTTAGCGGAAGGGTATTACCCACACAAATCAGGAAACAAATAAACAGTTAAACAAAAACAACAATGACAAATGTCCGACTTACTATTCTGACAGGTAGTTAATTGCACAAAACAAGTTTTCGACTAGCGTCCAGCCGACAGACAAAATGACACTTTTGTAACTTAAAACGTATATCCATCATTTGTTCTCCCGTTTTCACTGCTTCAGCGCTGTTTTATCATATGTCTGGTTAAGAAATGTGATGCGTTATTAATTGAACTTATAACTTCAAATGAACTATGCAAATCAATCTGTATGTGTTTGAGTCTGTGTAAAATATCCCTAGGTGATGGGGAAAATCATAGCTTCATGATTTTTGTTTTTTCTCAACAATATTTTTTAATTTGTAAACTCTGCATTTCCGAGACATACTTCTATTCAATTGAGATATTCAATGAATTTCTCTGCGTTTTTTTTACCGTCAATATGATCTGTGGGTGTTAAGTTCTCTTCTCATTATATGTTTCTAATTATTATCTGTCCTTTCTAATCGATGTTAATGAGTTTTTGTATTTCTTATTGTCCTTAAAATTGACACATTTGACGTGAATATTATTTTTAAAAGGCAAGAAGAATTCAAGAGAATATTATTAATTTAAAAAATGGGAAAGCATTTGGAAACTTAAACAGACAAATCATCTTCTGCAGGTTAGGAACCCGAAACGTTTTCTATAAAAGAAAAGGCAAAACTATCTTTGTGATGTTGATTTCTCTATTCCTCCACAGCAAGAACGGAAAATCTTAAGAATATGACAATGTGAACAACGAAATCAAAGCTTTTCAATAGAAATTAAGCATTTGTGGGAAATATATTACGCTCTGAAATATTTTGAAGATCTCTAAAGATTAGAAGAATTGCAAATCCGAGATTCCCTGATCATCCATGTCCTGAAGATATAGATAGATAGATAGATAGATAGAGAGAGAGAGAGAGAGAGAGAGAGACAGAGATTGAGACAGAGACAGAGAGAGAGAGAGATTAACAGAGAGAGAGAGAGATTTTCGGAATACGTAATATTGTTTAGGCCACGATATTATTGAAAACTGCATGAATACAGAATAACACTGTAGATTTTAGTAAACCTACGGTTACTAAACATAGCTATACCAAATATACATATGGTAATTTTCTAAGCGTAGTTTAGATGTGGGACATTACACCACATTCAAATTACCCAACTCTTCCGTGCGTGATTTGACATACTGAAATAAAAATAACAAAAACTACAAAAATAAGAATAATGATACTGAAATCTATATTTTGTTTAGCTTAGATGATGACGTACTAAGATGATTTGGGTGTAGTATCTTTATATATAGGTACCACATCTTGATAATTGATATTGCACGTCACGTTTCGGCCCTTCCTATATTGCTGAGATGAGGATTATGTATCTCTTCTGAGTATGCTGAGCTATTTGACCAGTAGTCATTTCTGATTTGGTCTCACATAACCTGTCACCATATCCAGCCCGGTTGACAGTGATGTGTGACACAAAATAATATTATTACCAGGATGCCATAATGGATATGTTACCCTGAAAAATAGCGCACTAAATATACAAGTTTTCTCTCATTCACCTTGCTCTTCTGACCTTATTCGATCGATCATTTCTTCTGAAGAGCTCTGCTACATTTTCAGAGATGAAATCAGTTTACAAATTGTGAAATGATTAAAACTCATTGAAATGAAATTTTTATTTGCATCTAAATATGGAGAACCTTACGAACAGGCAATCTACGAGTTGCCAAATTTATGATAGTAAGTTATCGGTAATAAGGGGGAATATAATCTTCATTAAATATAGACCAAGACCAAAGTCGGACATCTTTCTTTACTTTCTTCAAATGCAACAGTACATTCTTTCCAACCTAATAAATAAATGCTACTTATTGGCTTATAAAAAAAAAACACCAAAATCCATGTGACTCGGAGTTAGTATCAACTCCAATTGAATAATGTCCCAGTTTATTTGGAATTTGATGTCTGGTGAAATAATGTTTCAGATTGTTTAGTCAGCGATTTTGCAGTTTGCGAAGTAATGCATTAACCTAAACAGCAGAATTTCAGAGAGGAAAATCATGCCTAACCGTTTTTGTTTCAAAGCTAAAATCTATTCATTTTATATGCTGCAGAGTTTGAATTGATACTTTTTAATTATTCACACTTTCCATAGATATTCACAATGAATTTTCGAAAAGGAAATACACAAATTAAATGAAGTCGATGCTTAAAGTGGTATATGGATTAGACATAGGACCGTCGTTCAGCAGATTTTTAACGGACCTTGTTATTTAGAAAATCTTTTCCCCAGAGACTTGTTCGGTTTATTCACATGAGTCAGAGAAAATCTAAAAGCTTTTGTTTTTTTTCTGTTTTTAATTTTTGTGTGTTATTCTTGTTCTCGTTCAAGTGTAACAGAAACTTTTCTTTAAAACTGGGTGTAAATTTTGTTTTTTTATTACTTTTTTCGTAAATTAACTTTTTCTTTCGTTGTATCTTCATTATTACTACAAATGGAATACCATGCTTCATTCGTTCTCTTTCTGGCAAAAAACTTAATTTCATTTGAAATCTACTTTTTTTAAATTCCTCTCTCCTTCCGGTTTTCTCTCTTCACTCTATCTCAAGATAATGTAAACTATAAAAAAAATCATATTTAATGAGAACTATGGAACAAATTCTAAAAAGCCGCTACGTATTATATACGATAATATTTTTCAAAATTTCATTGAGAAATTTAGGATTACGTATTATACACAAATTGCGTGTTGTAAACAAATAATTGAGGTAAATATTCATAAAACTCTTATTAATTATACTAATTTCGCCATCTTTTTTTTCTCTTTCATTTCTTCTCCATTTTGTCATTTTTCTCTTTTCGTATCTCTTTCTTTCTTTCTTTTTTTTTCGTAATTTTACATTCTTTATATTTTCAATTCACTTTTCATTAATTTATATATGGCCACCATATACGTCTGACGACATTTTTTGTTCACCTTCTCTTTTTCTTTGCCATTGATGCTGTCTCTAACTTTACAAGCGCTCACAACTCTAGAAGGATCAACTACATTACCGTATATGGAATATCCGACTCCCCCTGTCACTCCTTTCCCTTCTCTCCTTTTTAAGTAACCTTTTATTGATCACTATTTTACTATCTGCCGCAAAATCCTAAGCGACCAGAATACGAATAAAGGGGCGATAAAAGGAAGATTATGTCATGCCAAAAAGATGAGCATGCTTATAAAAGTTGACATCTGATTCACAGAGGTGGCGGGGAAAAAGCGTTAAAAAAAAATGGCTGACTAACAGCATGATCTAAAAAAAAAATAAACAAAAAAAAACAGAGAATAAGAAAAGAGTTCAATATGTGGGTGGTAACGGAGGTAAGAAGATAATCTTGCAGCTCTATGGTGCACCCTGATGATCTTTGGGTGATCAAGCGCTTGCCTGTTTTTGGCACTGACAGGCTTGGATGACCTAATTAGAAGGGGAAAAAAGGAAGCAAAGAGAAAAGCGGCTCATAAAAATGCGAAAATATAAACATTGAATTGGAAACGTGGACATGCAGGTGAGTCACAGGTGAGCCTAGTGTGTTCGCTTGATTTTATTTTGATAACTGCACAGGCATCGATGTAACATGACCAGAAGCAGAAAAAAATGATTTAATAGAAATAAATCCCATTTATCCATATCAATGGCTGAAAAAAAAGTATTCTTACAATGCAAATTTCAGATTTTAAAATATTTAAATTGCTAATTTTAATTGTGTAATATTCTAGAATGTTCAAGAATGTCATCAATAGTTATTTGTAGACTAAAAAATACAAAAAAAACATTTTTTAATTGATATATTTTGAGGTTACCATCATGACGAGTAGATAAAGAATTAACAAATTCGCAAAAAAGAACTGATTGTTAAGCTCTGGAAAGATAAACATTACAGGAAACTCTCAGACAACCCGAGTATTTCATTTACTACCATTAGTTCCATTTCAAGAAAAAAAAACTCAAAATTGTTGAAAACCAAAGAAAAACAG